GTAGATCCAGCATCTACTTCGTTTTGGCAACCTTTTAAGGTAAAAAGTCGTTACCTTGATCATTTCCTTGTTAGATCTCTCCATTCAAGAGTTTAGGGTCTTTTTTTAGCCCACTTTGGATCCATTTTTGGATGATGAGCATGATTTGAAGTTGTAACTTCAGATCTGGACTCCTCTAGGCCCCCATAGTCATAAAGTTATCGGCTTTATCTAGTCTTGGCCTTTCTCCATGCCCTAAACCTCTTCGTAAGACTAGTTTGGGTGTTTTAGCCTCTTAACGCCTTGCATGCATGTAAAGTTAGCAACTTTACGTGGTAACTACACCCTAGGTGGCTAGATCTACAGTTTGGAGCCTTGGTTTCGCTTAAAAGCGTCTGAATGAGAAAAGGGTCGAAGGAACTCGACGAGTTGCATAGCCAACTCGAGGAGTTGGTTAGGGTTTTCCCGAACCTTCTGGACACTGCATGGACTCAACGAGTTTTTTGGTAACTCAGCGAGTTGACTCGAGTTTTCGGTCTCTGAGTTCTGAAGGAACTCGGCGAGTCAGTAGATGAACTCGACGAGTTGGTTAGGGTTTTTCTGAACCTTCTGGACACTGCATGTACTCGACGAGTTGTTTGGTAACTCGGCGAGTTGACTCGAGTTTTCGGTCTCTGAGTTCTGAAGGAACACGACGAGTCAGTAGATGAACTCGATGAGTTGGGTCAACATGGACTGTTGACCTTGACCGTTGACTTTGACTTTGACCAAGGGTTGACTAAGTTTGAATTTAAGGGTATTTTGGTCATTTGAGTTTTGATAGAATTGTTCCTATGATGGTTGTAGGTGTTTGAGTTTGGAGCTGTGATTCGGGAGCTTGATTCTTTTAGTTCAGTTTTACATTATGAGGTGAGTTCTTCTCACTATATCAACAGGGTCTAAGGCACCAAGGCCGACCCTTTTTGGATTGTATCCTGGTTATAGGATGATGCTATGTTTAGTGATCTGTTAGATCGGTATCCTGGTTATAGGATGATGCTATGTTTAGTGATCTATTAGATCGGTATCCTGGTATATTAGATGATGCTATGATTAGTGATCTGTTAGATCTATATGATATTGTTGTACATGCTAGCTAGCGTATGATATTATGTGTTATTTGTATGATTGGAGGTGGGTTGAGGTGGTCTTGCTTTGTGCTCTAGACCAACATACCCAGGGCGGACCGGATAGACTGTAGACCCGGTAGGGCGTACTAGTCAGGCCGAAGGTCCGGAGAACGGTCCAGACAGGCTGAAGGCCCGAAAGGGCGGACCAGACATGCTGAAGGTTCTGAGAGTGGGTCAAATAGACTGAAGGCCCGGTGAGGGCAGTCCAGTCATACTGAAGACTCTGAGAGTGGACCAGGTAGACTGAAGGCCTGGTGAGGGCGTACCAGTCGTACTGTAGACTCTCTCTCTCTCTCTCTCTCTCTCTCT